CCCGTGTGTGTGAATCCCCTATTAACCAGATTACCAAGAGCACCCGGTTTCATAGTACACATGGGTAAAACCACGGGTTTGGGAAAGTTGTTATGGAAACGATGGTACTGAGGGAAAGGTAGAATCTCTCTGGAAAATTAGGCGAAGCCGTGACGGTGCGGTTCAGGGCGTTTGTCAAGGGAAAATCCCACGGCTATACGGCGCACGTCTAGAGACCTTATGAAAACATCTGATATAATATACAATAGGTATCGGTTATAGCGTGGGTGTTTGAAAAACGACTTTCTATTCTTATTTCCGATATTTCTTACACACGATAAATCAAGTGTGGCATATCATATGCATGTGCGCAGGGGCAGGAAGATCATCGTACATGCAACGCAGTACTTCTGTACATGTGGCTGGTCATAGTCCCATACTAGACTATAGGCTTACCATGTGGCTATGCAAAATGAGTTACATGGCCCCAACAGTTGAATCTGCAGCACTACGACGCAACGAGAGTCACATCAGAACGGCATTGGACAGATGTTATTACTACAGGCGATACACTTTGTACTAATCTGGCATGTTTTGCTACACAAAGTCCATTCTTAGGACAGATATATTCTACTATGGGATAAAATTGCTTGTAAGAATAAATGTGCCCTTGAAATGCATGTTATGATTATGAAAACATGAGAGTTCATTCTTGTAGGCAGTATATTCTTTTACACGACCACGCTGTTACCGATACGCACTGTACTACAATTGTAGTACTCTTGTGCACGAACTCTGAACCCTTAGGCCTAGTTGTACGAGTGCATCGCAGTTTGCATTATCCGACAGTGCCCAAACATGAATATGCTGTGTGTGGTCATACAGCTATATACAGACAATCACGCATGGCATGTACTACAAAATGCAGAACAGATTCGGTACGACGAGTTGCTTTCCTGCCACAAATTCAGCAATCCTGTACGTGTGCCATCAAGAGTACGGGGGTTATGTACTCTTGGTGTTATGCATGGCCATATGCTGCAGCTAGCAATATATATGTACTAGTGCACTACATTGTACTTTTTATTTTTTTATTTTTTATAAACCGGTAAAGCCTCTTGTACGTACGGGCAAAGCAAAATAAAAAGAAGAAGAGAAGAAAAACTAAACTAAAAAGAAGAAGAAAACGTTGCATGCATGCTACGTAGCTAGATCTACGATCGTACGAGCTACGTAGCCTACGGTACGCCGATAAAGTCGCACTCGGAACAGGCGCTATAGTATAGCCTCGTGAGCAGCATGAGCAGCTACCGCATCGAGTCCTTCCTTTTGCTTCTTTCATTTGTTTGTTCTTTTTTGCCCCTCAACCTTTTTCGGTACGAAAACTCCACTTTTGGGTTTGCGTAGAAGCACGTCATCTCACGTGCATGTCGACTCCCACTATCCCGGCCCGGGGGCCCGCGCGGGCCCGGCGGGGGGATCCGCAGTACTGTACGAGTAGCTCTACAGGCCTCAGCTCAGGGAGTCGTCATTCAAAAATATGACTGAGTACAATGTCATCAAGAGTACATAACCAGTTATGTACAAAAAATAGGCACGAAGAAACGTGAGGACCACACGAAGACACTCTTGTCAAAGATTTGTCCACCAAGGAAAGCACAACGACTCAGGAGGCCTCTACTTCCATATTTAAAAAATTGCGACATGTCCAAAAATAATTGCGAATCACCTCGTACTCTCAACTTACTTATGTACTCAGATGTCATGTAGATCTATATATTGTAGCTCTACTCCTGTCGTACAGTCTAGCATACGGGATCCCGGGAGTGTGAGATTTCCGGTGCATACAGTATGCTCCGACTTCCTGTGCCTGTGGTGATGCATGTGCTTGGGCTCACCCATGCTGTTTGAGATTTTGAGAAGGTATTGAGAAGGTGTTCGACGAAACATTGCCGCTGGCAATGGTGGATTGTAAAAGGATATCAGCAACTTCTTATGTACCTTGATGGACGTATTCCTTCGGATTCTCATTC